CCTGGCTAATTTTTTTTGTATTTTAGTAGAGACGGGGTTTCACCGTGTTAGCCAGGATGGTCTCGATCTCCTGACCTCGTGTTCCGCCCGTCTCGGCCTCCCAAAGTGCTGGGATTACAGGCTTGAGCCACTGCGCCTGGCCTCCTTCTCTTTATAGAGGGCTCAGCTCACATGTCACCTGTGCAGAGAGGCCCTCAGGGGCTGCCTTGGCTAAAGCAGCCTTCTTGCTTCCTCCCTATCCCATCACTGTCTTTGTTTTTTCTTCCTGGTAGGACTCTAACACTTTTTCGTTGATTAGTTTATTTTTATACTATTTTTTTTTTGTTTGTTTTTGAGATAGGGTCTCACTCTGTCACCCAGGCCAGAGTGTAGTGGCACGATCTCAGCTCACTGCAACCTCTGCCTCCCGGGTTCAAGTGATCCTTCCACCTCTGCCTCGTGAACAGCTGGGACCACAGCTGTGTGCCACCATGCCCGGCTAAATTTTTTGTGTTTTTTGGTAGATACAGGGCTTCGTCATGTTGCCCAACCTGGTCTCAAACTCCTGATCTCAAGCAATCTGCCTGCCTCGGCCTCCCAAAGCGTTGGGATTACAGGCGTGAACCACTGTGCCCGGCCTTCTAGTAGGATTTTTAGCTCCATGAGAAGATGGCTCTTTTACACCATTTAACTTGTATGTCCTCAGCTCTTAAAACATTGCCTCACACACACTAGAAGTTAAATAAATCCTGGGTGGATCAACACACACAGTCAATTGACTTCTCCCAGCTTCAGCTTTCCCATCTGTGTTTGGGATCCTGGCTTGTAGGCTGGATGTGAAGATGAAGGGAGATATTGCATGCATAGTACTCAGCTTGGTTCCTGGCATGTAGGATGCGCCCAGCACATGGTGGTGGTTGTTATCAACCAGCTGGCCCTGGCTTGACCTGGAGGAATCACTGACCATCTCTGAGATAATGCCCTGCTGCTCCGCCCCGGTGCAGCCTACGTAGAGTTGCCCAGGACAGAAGCAGCCTGATGGCAATTCAACGCCTGCAGTGTGGAGCATCTGTCCTTATAACCTGAATTCCAGTATCCTTTGAAGTCAGTGTGCTCTGTGACTGGTGCATCATAGTCCGTGGCTTTGTATCTTGCTTGGAGTCACTGGGCCTCTTGTGGAGATCAGGTGTGGCTCTGACAACTGTCCGCCTGGTGTTTTCAAGTGCACTTTCCCCAGACCTTCTGAAATGGAAATTCAGTATATGTCATGTGTGTCAGTTGGGAATGCTTTTGGCTGCAAGTAACAGCTCAATGTGCCGTGGTGTGGACAAATATCGTTATTTATTTTGTGAGAGTTAGCTTGTTTCTAGTCTTGGCTTACCAACTCAGTGATATCAGGGCTGGTGTCTTTGTGATTCTCTAGGTCTTTCTCTCAGGCTCATGACTTCATGGTGGCAAAATGCTACTCGGGCTCCACCCAACATGTCTATGATTGAGGCATGAAGGATGGAAGACAGAATGATGCCCTTCATAGCTCTTCTTTCTATCAGAAAGGAATGACTTTCCCAGAACTTTCCCAGTACACTTCTGCTATCTTCTCATTGGCCAGACCGCTTAAGTTCAACCTCAGCTGCTGAGAAGAGGAGTAATCAGGTTTTACAGCTTGGATTGCTGAAGGCGGCATGGGAAAAGGATGTTGGAGATGATAGTGAGAACAGCCAGTGAGCAGTTCCCACTGTACTGGGAAACTTGTATTTTATTTCAGGCTGCTGGTTGACAACTGGGGGCAGTTTTGATTCCCAGGGGACATTGGCATTGCATGGAAACATTTTGGTATGACTCAGGGGTTTGTGTGTGCTAATGCCACGTAGTGTGTAGAGGCCAGGGATGCTGCTAAATATCCTACAATGTCAGTAGTGCCAAGGGATGAGAAACCTTTAGACCACTGTAGACATGTTGTTCAGATTTGGGGAAAATTAGTTTACCTGTTTTCCTTTGATGCAGTAACAGGCAATAGCCAAACTTCATTGTAATGATACAGATTATTGGTACCTAGTCGTGCTATTGATTTGGTTAAAGATCAGTAGTAAAGGACTGGTCTAGTTGGGGACAGCCGTGTCCGAGTGTCAACGAGAACTAATTAAGCCTCATTGCGTTTTAGGATCACAGAACAATGACAAAAGACAATTTCTGCTGGAGCGACTGCTGGATGCAGTGAAACAGGTAAGCAGAGAGCACACATTTGCCTTTTTGGTCGAGTAATAGTGTCAGATAATTAATGTAGGTCATTTCTTCCCTATAACATACACAGACTAACTCCCACTTTATACCTGGGAACAGTGAAGTGATCTAATCGTTTTCCCCAGGAAATGATAGAGCAGTGAACATGGTCAGAGTTGGGTTGGAGGAAGTCCTGTGTCTTGAATTTCGAAAGCCCTCTAGAGGACCCCCATCCTTCAGTGATGTCCCTTCAAGAAAGGCACTGAGCTGGGTGCGGTGGCTCACGCCTGTAATCCCAGCACCTTGGGAGGTCAAGGTGACCGCATCACTTGAGGTCAGGAGTTCCAAACTAACCTGGCCAACATGGTGAAACCCTGTCTCTACTAAAAATACAAAAATTAGCTGGACGTGGTGGCAGGCACCTGTAATCCCAGCTATTTGGGAGGCTGAGGCAGGAGAATTGCTTGAACCTGGGAGGTGGAGGTTGCAGTGAGCCGAGATTGCCCCGCTGCACTCCAGCCTGGGCAACAGAGTGAGACTTTGTCTCAAAAAAAAAAAAAAAAAAAGGGCATTGATGTGGGTTTCAAAGTCCCATTGTCTCATTTCCAAGCAGTTGTGTTTGAGGGCAGCTCTGAGGGGTGCAGAGGTGGTGGTTTGGAGTTAGGACCCCTGAGCACAAGAAGGCTAGGACAAGGAGGAAGGAGGCCACGCCTGGGGTCCTCTGCTGCTGCCCCCAGCTGTGTGGACACTCCAGGTGGCTTTGCTGTGATTGATGTGATGCTGTTTCTGATGCTTGACTCTGGCTGGGCTTGGAAGCAAGCTTGGATGTGAGACTGGAATCTGCTTGCTGCATGTACCAGATGCATGCTACTGTTAGCTGTCACTGATCACACCTCTACTGTGTGCCAGGCTCTCTGCTAAGCACTTTATATTTAATCCTTCCAACAACACTGTGAGATTATAGTTCCTGCAGTTGGTTTCATTTTACAGCTGAAGAGACTGAAACTCAGAGGGATCCAATAACTTGCTCAAGGTGTCGTAGTTAGTAAGCGGCAGAGCTAGGATCCAAATCTGGGAATTCTAGGAGCTCACTTTTTGGAAGGGGCAGTTGACAGTTATAATTATGTGTGTAATTACACTGTAGGGAGGTAAGTACTGTAATAGGGGTGTGTGTGAAATTTTTTTGTTTTTTATTTTTTAGAGATAAGGTCTTGCTCTTGTCTAGGCTGTAGCACAGTGGCACCATCATAGTTCATTGTAACCTCAAACTCCTGGGCTCAAGCAATCCTCCCACCTTGGCCTCCTGAGTGGCTGGGACTACAGGTGCGTGCCACCACATGTGGCTGGGGTGTATGTTGAGTATTGAAGTGAGCCCAGAGAATGCAGTATCTATGTAAGCCTTGAGGCGTTATGTGGTAAGAGGGACACAGGCTTTCTGCTCCGACGTAGTTGGAATTAAAGGTCAGCTTTACTTCTTCAGCTCTGTGTGTATAGGGACAGCTCACGCACCCTCCCTGAGCATCTCTCTGCTCTTCTGTAACTGGGTCACTTAATCCGTGTATGGCTTCTGAGGGAATTGGCTTGTTAAAGTAGGTAAAGGGCCTGGACAGAGCCTGGTCCTCTGTTAACATGGTAACATCTGGAGCCCATGTTATTAGCTTATTCTTTCTTTGCTGCAGAAATGGAAAATATAATAAGATGAGGAGGCAAGATGAACCACTTTAAAGGTAGCAGAGAGAAATAAAGTGGAGCTTATGCCCAGAGCTTCTGCTGCTTTTTTTTTTTTTTTTGGATGGAGTCTAGCTCTGTCGCCCGGGCTGGAGTGCAGTGGCGCAATCTCAGCTCACTGCAACTTCTGTCTCCTGGGCTCAAGTGATTCTCCTGCCTCAAACTCCTGAGTAACTGGGACTACAGGTGCGTGCCACCACACCTGGCTAATTTTTGTATTTTTTAGTAGAGGTGGGATTTCACCATGTTGGCCAGGCTGGTCTCGAACTCCTGACCTTGGGTGATCAGCCCACCTCGGCCTCCGTTACTGCTGGGATTACAGATGTGAGCCACTGCGCCTAGCCTGCAGTTATTATTATTATTATTATTATTATTATTGTTATTTTGAGGGTTAAAGTGTTGCACATGACTTTTTTGCATGACTTTCAAAAATAAATTTTATTGATGTATAATTTACATATAATAAAATATAGCATTTTAAGTGTACAGTTTCATGTGTTTTGACAAATATATCATTTAAAATTATATATGTACACACACATATACACATACACACACAGATACACACACACATATACAATGTAGTAGTTTTGATAATAAGTTTAGGAACCCTGCAAACCTGCTACCCATAGCAGAGATTCTATACCTTTAAAAGAAAAAGACAGTAGTAGGCCAGGCATAGTGGCTTATGCCTGTAATCCCAGTGCTTTGGGAGGTTGGAGCAGGAGGATGTCTTGAGGCTAGGAGTATGAGGGCAGCCTGGGCAACATAGTGAGAACCCTGTCTCTATAAAAAATAAAAAATATGAGTTGGACCTGGTGGCACGTGCCTGTAATCCCAGCTACTTGGGAGGCTGAGGTGGGAGAATTGCTTGAGCCCAGGTATTTGAGGTTACCATGAGCTATGATGACACCACTACCCTTCAGCCTGGTGACAGAGCGAGACCCCATTTTTTTTTTGTTGTTGTTAAGAAAATTAGAATAGTGGATAATGGTGATGGTTGCTCAACATTGTGAATTGAAATTTACACCTAAACATGGTTAAAATGGCAAAGTTTATGTTATCTATATTTTAATTTTACCAATTCAAAAAGTAGCCTGCAGGGCCAGGTGCCGTGGCTCATGCCTGTAATCCCAGCACTTTGGGAGACCAAGGTGGGCGATCACCTGAGGTCAGGAGTTCAAGACCAGCCTGACCAACATGGAGAAACCCCATCTGTACTAAAAATACAAAAATTAGCCGGGCATAGTGGCACATGCCTGTATCCCAGCTACTTGGGAGTCTGAGGCAGGAGAATCACTTGAACCCGGGAGGGAGAGGTTGCGGTGAGCTGAGATCAATCCATTACACTCCAGCCTGGGCAACAAGAGTGAAACTCCGTCTCAAAAAATAAAAAAAATAAATAAAAAAGAAGTAGCCTGCTTTCATTTTTACCCACCCTCAGTAAATTGTCATTCCACACAACCCAATGACTCGTATGAGGCTTGATTTGTGCTGCTGTAACGTCATAGCCAGTCATGACAACTCTGGGGCTCGTCCAAAGGGGCCCATTCAGCGCAGGTTTGTGGAAGTTGTAATTATCTCCCGCGAAGAGCTCTGTGTGGTAGACAGTCAGCTGCCGACAGGCAGGAGCAGCTTCCTGGATAATGCACAGATGGCCGTGTGCTTTTGTTTTTCTGTTAGCAATGTTTTCCCACAAGGCTTGCTTTTGTACAAGTGGGAGATAAGGGTTTCCTTTAAGTGGCAGCTTCAAGGCTGAGGTGTGCACCTTCTTAAGTCTTGTGCTGATACCCAGGGGACAGGGACGTCCTCACTTGACGTGCAGAGCTTCTGGTCCCGTGTCCCCTCCCTGACCCTTAAGCCCTACGTGGGCTGTTGTGTGACGTTTTGAGTGTCGCATCCCAGCGGCTGATCTCAGCAGCTTCTTTTTCTGTGCAGTGCCAGATCCGCTTTGGAGGGAGAAAGGAGATCGCCTCGGATTCCGACAGCAGGTAAATATGTCGCTTCTAAAACCATTGACCATTGAGCTTGAAAAGGCGGCAGAAGGCGGCCGGCTTCTGTGCTCTGCCTCTGCAGCCAAGAGGTGCAGCGCTGAAATTTGAGTCAACCGTGGACTCTCTGTGCGGTGACTGCTCATCTCCCACACTCCACGTTTTCCATAATTCTCTTTCTAGGAATCTATTCGGGGGGAATTATTCGAGATACCTTTCCATATGAAATTATTTTCAGGATAATTAATAATTATGAGAACTTGGATGCCTAAATACCCAATAATTGGGAAACGGTTAATAAAATATAGTGCGTTAATGGGGTGGAATGTTATATAGCCATTAAGAGTAATGTTTATATGGAATTTGTTTTCAATGGAAAAATGCATGGGTAATAATTTAGAAATTACATATATAGTAAAAAGGCATATGTTGTAAAAAGAGCAGGATCCGAAATTCTATGCATATGGAGTGGTCCTAGCTATGTTAGATAGCAACTCTGGCCAGAACACACTGAAATGTGGCCTAAGGTAGCAGTAGGGGTAAGAATACTGGGAATATTGCTTTCTGGTATTTTTCGCGTTTTTTATTGTGATCATGTGTTCCTTTTATGATAAAAAATAATTCCTAAAAATGGGCCAGGTGCGGTGGCTCATGCCTATAATCCCAGCATTTTGCGAGGCCGAGTCAGGTGGATCACTTGAGGTCAGGAGTTCGAGACCAGGCTGGCCAACATGGTGAAATCTCGTCTCTACTAAAAATACAAAAATTAGCTGAGTGTGGTGGTGCACGCCTGTAGTCCCAGAGACTTGGGAGGCTGAGGCAGGACAATCGCTTGAACCCAGGCTAATTTTGGGGAAAATTAAGGATTTAGGAGGTGGAGGTTGCAGTGAGCTGAGATCACGCCACTACACTCCAGCCTGGGTGACAGAGTGACACAGGGTGAGCCTCTGTCTCAAAAAATAAAATTTGGCTGGGTGCAGTGGCTCATGCCTGTAATCCCAGCACTTTGGGAGGTCGAGGCAGGTGGATCACGAGGTAAGGAGTTCGAGACCAGCCTGGCCAAGATGGTGAAACCCCTTGAGGCTTGATTTGTGCTGCTAAAAATACCAAAAATTAGCCGGGCTTGGTGGCGGGTGCCTATAATCCCAGCTACTCGGGAGGCTGAGGCAGGAGAATTGCCTAAACCCAGGAGGCAGAGGTTGCAGTGAGCCGAGATTGTGCCACTGTACTCTAGCCTGGGTGACAAAGCAAGACTCTCTCAAAAAAAAAAAAAAAAAAAAAAAATTTCCTAAAAATGGCCATTGACATTCACGACCCAGGAAAGGCTGACATCATGGCATAAGCTGATAACATTGGCTGGAAGGAGACCCATAGGCCACATAGGGCTTGGCAAAGGTAGGAGACTCACAAGCATCCAGTCCTTGCTGCAAATGTGTTGTGAGCTCAGTCAGAGCTAATTTGTGCTCTGCAGCCCCTGAGGTGGCAGGAGGGAGATTCCTGCACGGGAAGGAAAGGGAAGGGAACTTGCTTGCTCAACGTTCATCTCATCCTGGAAACTGTTCATGTCCCCCACACTCTCACCGTAGCCCACCCTCCCGTGTCCATCGTTCCTTTTTCTGTCCTTTCCTGCTGTAAACTTTTAACAGCCATGAGCAAAGCATGTAGACCTTCCTGGAATAGAGCCATGTGGATGATTCGAAACTGGCACAGATTTAAAGTGATGCACCCTATTATCCGTGCCTTCTCTGCTTATGTTTTCTCCATTGCACGTATCATCATCCAACTAACTATATATACATTCGGCTTTTTAATTTTGCCTATTATCCTGTCACTATAATGTCGGCTCTGTGCAGGCAGGTATGTTTTGCTGTCTTGTTTACAGATGTTTTCTAGTGCCTAGAAGCATTCAGTAAAGATTTGTTAGCCAGATGAGTGTGTGTATTACATTGTACTGTAGTCAGGTGTTCAAATATCTGTGCCACCACAAAGCTTGTGAGATTGGAAGGCAGAAAGGGTGTTTCTCCATTTATTTTAAAAAATTTTACTTCTCGGTGTTTTACACAAGCACTTTGTGCCTGTCGTACATTAGATTCTCAGTATATGTTCGTGGCATTAGATCATTAGACTCAATGATCAATTTAGTCCTTCCTGAGGGCCTACTATGGGGCCTGGCCTTGGCCAGGGATCCAAGGTCCGCTTGCGTCAGAATCACCTGGGAGGCTTATTTATTAATGATGCAGTGTCTAAGTCCTGTCCTAGTTGTATTGGAGCAGGATGTGTATATGTGCATGAGTGTGTGTGTGAATGACTGAAGCCGAGGAGCTTGCTGAGAATTTGCATTTCAACAGGATCTCCAGGTGATTCTGCTGGACAGCAAAGCTTCCAGTGCAATCACTGTTCCAGGGCCTGGGATGCAGAGGTAATTAGGAAAGACTCCTCTTTCCTGACCCGGTTGGTTTGTCTGTGTTTATGTGTGTGTATGGGTGTGTGTGGTGTGTGTGTGTCTAAGTATCCGTGACTTCTTGACCACTTTTCTTCATTACCGTGCTGTCCGCTTCCTGAGAGAGGCAGTCCTGCTTGGAATGTTAGGTTAACGTGTTCTTACACAGGTGGAGTATCCCTCATCCAAAAACCCACAATTCAAAATGCTCCAAAATCTAAAACTTTTTGAGTACCAACATGATGCTCAAAGGAAATGCTAATGGAAGCCAGTTGGATTTTGGATTTTTGGATTAGGCTCACCTAACTGGTAAGTATATAATGCAAATATTCCACAGTCTGGAAAAACCTGAAATCCGAAACATTTCTGATCCTAAACATTTTGGATAAAGAATACTGAACCTATATAATAGAATTTGCTACCATAACCTTTGTTACAGAAAATGTTATGTTTTGTAGTAGAATTGAAAAAGTTAATTCCTTCTGTGATAACTGTCGTTTGTGGCTAAAAGGAGTATGCTGCTTACTATTACTAATAATAGGCCAGGCACTGTGGCTCATGTCTGTAATCTCATTGCTTTGGGAGGCTGAGGTAGGAGGATTGCTTGAGGCCAGGAGTTCAAGGCTGCGGTGAGCTATGATCGTGCCATTGCATTCCAGCCTGGGCAATAGACAGAGACCCTGTCTCTAAAAATAATAATAATAATAGCCAGGCATGGTGGCTCATGCCTGTAATCTCAGCACTTTGGGAGGCCAAGGCGGGAGGATCACCTGAGGTCAGGAGTTCGAGACCAGCCTCACCAACGTGGAGAAACCCTGTCTCTACTTAAAATACAAAATTAGCCAGGCATGGTGGCACATGCCTGTAATCCCAGCTAGGCAGGGAGGCTGAGGCACGAGAAGCGCTTCAACCTGGGAGGTGGAGGTTTCGGTGAGCCGCAATTGCTCCAGTCTGGGCAACAAGAGCGATACTCCATCTCAAAAAAAAAAAAAAAAAAGTAATAATAATAGTTATAGTTTGTGACTGCCTTTGCTACATTTTATTTATGTTGATTCTTAGTCCTCAGAAGGAGCAGAGGTATTATCCTTTCTTTTTTTCTTTTTTTTTTTTTGAGGCAGGGTCTTCCTCTGTCACTCAGCCTGGAGTGCAGTAGTGTGATCATGGTTCATAGCAGCCTCAACCTCCCAGGCTTAAGATCTTCCCACCTCAGCCTCCTGAGTAGCTGGGACTACAGATGCAAGCCACCATACTTGGCTACTTTTTGTATTTTTTGTAGAGATGGGGTCTCACTATGTTGCCCAGGCTGGTCTCGAACTCGTGGACTCAAGTGATCCTCCCACCTTGGCCTCCCAAAATGTTGGGATTATAGGTATGAGCCATACTGTGCCTGGGTTATCCCTTTTTCACTGATGAGAAAACTGATTCAGAGAGGCAAAATGCCATAGCCTAGGTTAGACATTTTGAAAGGGCTAGAGTTCCATGATTTGTTCTTTCTCTGTTATGTGCTATTTAGTGACTAAATTGTTTCTGAGGCTGGGTTTAAAAAAAAAATTATTCTCCTCTACCCCAGACGGATTACTTCTTAATATCAGAGACCTGGTCTTACCTTGGAAATGTACTTGGGTAAAGGTGGCACCACCTTCATGTTGGAAAGGCCACATCATTGTCCCTATTCTGTGAGAAAGTTGAATCTCGGCTGGACGCGGCAGCTCACGCCTATAATCCTAGCCTTTTGGGAGGCTGAGGCAGGTGAATCCCTTGAGGTCAGGAGTTCAAGACCAGCCTGGCCAACATGGCAAAACCCCGTCTGTACTAAAAAAATTAGCCGGACGTGGTGGTGCCCGCCTGTAATCCCAGTTACTCGGGAGACTGAGACAGGAGAATCGCTTGAACCCGGAAGGCAGAGGTTGCAGTGAGCCGAGATTGCACCATTGCAATCCAGCCTGGGTGAGAGAGTGAGACTCCGTCTCAAAAAAATAATTAAAAAAAAAGAAGAAAGTTGAATCTCAAGAGGGAAAGTCAGCGAACATTTAAAAATAACTTAGGAGGACTGACAAGATAGATGAGTTGCCTCCCTTCCTCACCGCTGGTAGCTGACCCGACCCTGGAGTTGAGGTCAAATCCACTTACTTCCCTCCAGCTCCTCTGCTGGCCTGCGGTCCCCATTACCAGCATCTCACAGGATGGCCGCTGCAGCTCTGGGCTCTCCCCATTTGTTCTTCTCCTGCTTCTACCACATCGAATGCAGAATGCAGATTCCCTCACCTCATGCTCCCTTGAAACCTCCCAGCTGCCTTCTCTTTGCTCTTGGGAGAAAGACCCACATCCTTAACACAGCCTGGAGGCCTCACATGCTTTCCCCTGCTCTCTGATCCAGCCATCTGCCCTTTTTCTCCTTTTGTTTTTAAAGCTTTTAACTACTTTTTCTTTCTTCTTTTTTTTTTTCTTTTTTTGAGATGGAGTCTCTCTCTGTCACCCAGACTGGAGTGCAGTGGCGTGATCTCGGCTCACTGCAAGCTCTGCCTCCCTGGTTCACGCTATTCTCCTGCCTCAGCCTCCC